TGAGGAAATGGACTGTATGAAGAAGCCCCAGGAATGGGCAGGGGGTGGCTGGAGAGCTGGCAGGGGGCTCAGGGACAGGGCACACAGGATTTAGGCAGCAGGAGGACGCTGAGATGCTGACAGGGACTCTGCCCCAGCAGCAACGCCACCGAGGTTCTAGCTGCGGCTTGAGCCAGCTCTGCGGCTTAGCAGGTGGCTTGTTTTCCTGGAGAGAAGGTTCAAAGTGGGCTTCCTAAGGGGTTTCCAGGAGATCTGTCTATGGAAACCTGAACCTCCAGCTTAAATGTTCCCTGTGCCAGTACCTTTTTAATTTAGGTAACCTGACAAGTGTAACCATGGCAACTGTGCTCATATTATTTTAATATTGACTTTAAAAATATAGCAAAAAATATATATAGCAGATGCTTATTTTAAATGCTAGCATGAGGTTCTATTTTACTATCCTTTGTACTATTCAGATAAAGAGCTTCATTTAAAAATTACATATGCAATTTGCAGACTCTTGGAGAGTCTACCTCTTCAGCCTTTGTTTTTAGGTCACAAGAGACCTGTCTTAGACCATTAGGTATTTAATGTGACACGCTCTGCTTCGTAAAGTAAAAAGAAAAGGGCAGTTTTTGGCTCAGATACAAACAGCTTTGCCCCCAAATGTGTCCAACAGCCTGATTTAGTATTAAAGCTCGGAAATGATTGATTATCCATTAGGGTAGCTATTTAAAGAGTTCATCGCATCAGATTCAAACCAGCAACATTTGCGCTACCGCCAGGCAGTTAGGCAGAGCTGGGCAGAACCAAGTAGAATCTGGGTGGAGCTGGGGGGGGTCTGCCTTCCTTGAGACTCTGTGCCCAGACCTCTGTTAAGGAAAGAAACAGGATGCTGCTGCCACTACCTGTGATCAGGCTTGTGCCCGCGCTTCCTGCCACGTCCAGGTCAGGGAGAACTCCTCGCTGGGCGTGAGAACTGCCATGGGGCCTGGCTCATACCCTTTCCCCCACTCTAGGTCTCTCGGCCCTGCTTTCTCCCTGCTGTCCCCTGCCAGCCCCTTCCCATCTCCCCGCCCCACTCTTCCTGCCGCAAGTCACTGCTGCTGCCCAGCTGCGTTTGTCCCGATGCTTTGTCCTGACTGTCACTTGCAAACTGTACAAAATCCAAGCCCAAGGCCATTGTGGTCGTCTCCTAACCCTGGCAGGATCCCTGTTCACTGCACCACCCAACTCATCCCCTTGTTCTGCCCCATCCTTGTATGCTCAGCAAACAGTTTACCTTGGCAGGTTCACCAGGAAGTAATAATACTGCTACAGCCAGGTGCTTTGTGGAGCTTTCGTTTCTAAAGTTGTGTGAGTGTAGGTAGGCGTGTCTTGGGGGGGTGTTTACAGTTTCTGGGGTGAAGTTATTGTTGCCCCTGCTAAGGAGGGGCAGCCTTTGAGGCTTTGGGCCCCGTGTGTCAGAGCACAGGTGTGTCACAGCACAGGCGATGTCGTATTCCAGGGGTGCCTTGGCTGGTCCTAGGGCCTGTCATGTCCAGGTGGGAGGCCTGTGTCTTTGGAGGATGCCTCAGTACCCCTAAGAGCTCTGTGGCTAGAAGGCTGCCACACTCTACCAGCACTGAACCCAAAGGCTCTCTGTAGTGGCTGCTGTGGTTTCTGCCTAGACCCCATCTTCAGGGCTGGTGCAGCCATCCCCTGGATACTGGGGACATCTCACAGCTATGTCCTTCGCCGGGCACTGCCCTCAGCCAAGGGAAACGGCCTCACCCAAGATCAAGCCCCCTCCCAGAGTTGGTCTGTGGCCAATGGCTGGCAGTTGGGGAGGGGGTACCAAGGCCAGGCCATGGCCTCCATTGGGGACAACTATGAGGGGTCCCCTCAGCTCCTGAGCTCCTTGTAGAACTTCCCAGGCCTCAGATGTAACCACTGCCAGAGTCTGTTTCTCCCGCTGCGTGATCCTGCCTCCTTTACCTGCCTGCACTCCCCAGCAAATAGGGCCCCTCCCCCACCTCCAGAGCCACCCTGGCCGTGCTGTGCTGGGCGGCTGACAAAACCCCTCAGTTGCTCTATTTTGCTAAACTGTTTTATTGCATTCAAGTCTCCTTAAGAAGTCACTTGAGAGACATTTGTTTTTGGACTTGGACTTAAGAAAAATTGTGCTTCTTTGGGCTTTGGGTCAGTGCTTGATTTGCGTTTATGCTACAAACACCAATAACTGGGGAAGTGATTGGGCTTTCTTTGCTTTGGCTGCCAGGAAGCTTGGAGCCCCAGTCCAAGACCTATGCGCTGCTAGTGGAAGACCCTGGCACCTTCTGATTTTCCTTCACGTGCCTTCCTTGCTGTTCTTCTTTGTGTTGTTTTGCTGCATCGCACCGCTCACTCTGAGCTGCCTCAAGCCCCGTGTGGACTGCGGTAGAGTAGAAACAAGTGAACGCACACATGCAGCCATGCGGGTGTGGCGTCAGACAGACCTGTCTGCCGGATACTGGCTCTGGGACATGTGCCAAGGCACAACTTCTCTGAACCATAGTTTATTCAGCCAAGGAGTGGGCCTGGTGCCTGCATCGCAGAATTATCTTGAAGGCAGATACAATAAGCACGCGTCTGGTACACAGCAAGTGCTCAATAAATGGTAGACATGCACAATAATTTTGCATCCAATCACATTGCTCTCAAGACACTGCCCTATCACGTGGTTGGATCTGCTCCCCGCCACCTTCCTGTTGTGTGCTCGCTGTCGGCCCAGGTGCATTTCTGGCATGTTGGGTTTCACTTTCTTGTGGGAGACAGAAGCCTACCCAGGCGGCACGGTGCAGCAGAAGGGCTTATGGAGATGCCCGCCCATGTCCGTGTAGGCAGGTGGATACACAACTCAAATACCCACGAGAGAAATGAGCACCACCTTGCCTGGAGGAAAACTAAAAACTCTTTATGTAAACGAAGCCTTCATCAAATGAAAAACAGGTTGTAGATGAGAGATGGGTGATGAGTAATTTAACTAAGACGATGCAAATCTAGGCCTTTGAATACTTTAAATATAACCATCTGATATAAAAAGCATTGCACTAAATTTTTTAAAGCTGAGCACTTTCCTGGGGTGAGAGACTCACTTTCCTGGTAGGGACGTGTTCCCCAAAAGGCACGTGGGGAAGGCGAACAACATCCACGTTGGCATCGCATCCCTTGCGGGCGGCTGAGGAGGCCTCTATGCATTCTGTGGTCTCCACGAGCTCCCCATATACCACACGTGACGTTGCAAACCAGTTTGGAGCCCGTATGGAAACAGAGAACCCCATTTCAAAGAGGAAGTGGCTTGGGAAAGTCTTTCTTTTGTTCAATCCCAAAGTCAACCTGGCCGTGGCCCCTCAGAAATGCCAGATGGGCCTGAACCATAGTCTTGTGCTTGTCCAAAGAAGGGTCTGAAATGGGACTTCCTCGTCCCATCCCAGTGCTGGGGCCAGAGTAGGGCAGCCGGGTGCATACTCCTAGGAAGGAGGGAAGGCAGGTGTGCGTGCAGGAGGCTGAGTAAGGGGGCACGAAGGCAGGGTGGAGAGGGGGTGGTGTGAGGGCAAAGGTGGGCACGGAGAAGGCCCCCAATAGTCTGTGTTTGGAGGAGGGGACCTCACGAGGGGTGAGAGGAGTGAAGAAGTAGGGGGTGACTGGGGGACACAGCAAGTATCTGGCTGAGCCATCTAGCCCTGGAGGGGTGAGGGATGCTGGGGCCCCGCCCTCTGGGGCTGGGACAGTCTTAGATGAAGTGGCTCCAGAGCTGCGGTGGCCTCCAGTGAGACAGGGGCAGGCTCAGGGTTAATGGCCCTTGAGCCAAGGTCCTGGTCAGGGACCGGCTGAAGTTCTGGGACACGGACTAAGCATATTAGCCAGAGTGAGGATTTGGGGTCTGGCTGCAGGAACCTTCCTTTGCAGGACTGGCCAGTGCAAGAGGGACAGTCATGCCTGGGTGACCAGGAACCTCTTGCTCTATCACCCACAGGGAGCCCCTTGTCTACTGCATGTGAAGACATAGCCTGAGGGAGGGGGCAGGATAGGGCTGCAATTTTAGTTTCTTCTGACATCTATGGCCTATTTTTCCTAAAAACATATTAGCTACATATTTCCTTGCATCTCCGAGTTTTGATGAGTGAGAAAACCCAAACCCACACACTTCACCTCCATCTTGACAACAATCACTTTCTTCCCTTCCTACGGAAGACAGAGCGCACCCCCATCCCCAACATCGCACGGATGCCCCAGGGCCCAGCTTCGTTTACCCCTTGCGATGACGAGGATGATGATGATGACAGTCATAATGAAGCCTTACTCCTCAAATGAGCTAATGATGAAAAGCAGCGTCAGAGAGAGGACAGACTTTGGAGCCAGCCTGCCGGGGCCCCAGCTCCACCTTTCACGAGCTGGGGGAACTTGGAGGTCGCCTGACTACTTTGTTCCTGAGCTTGCTCATCTATAAAATGGGGATCAGAGCAGTTAGTCATTAGAACACGTTTGGAAGAGTGCCCGGCATGTGCGTGGTCGAGTCCTTACTGCTGGTGCTATTACTATTCTTACTACTGCTACCATTACTACGGGCACCAAGACCTTTTCCTGTCCACATCATTTGAATCTCACAATCCTATAAGGGAAAAGGTGTGATTATTATCCCACTTTGTAGACGAGGAAATTGAGACCCAGAGAGGTCAAGGGACTTGCCCAAAGACACCCAGCCTGATGTGGAGCCCGTATGATGCTCTACTTGGCTCCCCACTGCAAGGCTGGGTTGCCCACGATTAAAAGGGACGCGTCACCATTGCCTGGCAGTTCTCCCATTAACCCTGCCCGGCAGGGAGGGAGGTTTGATTTCCCAGCTTAAAGCACGGGAGATAAGGCCAGGGGAGTGAAGTGGCTCCCAGGTGGGGCTGCCCCCTCCGGCTACTCTACTTCTGAGCCAGCTGATCAGGACCACTTCAAAATCACAATTGAACTGCTCGGCTGCATCCATTGTTGCATGCGTGGCGGCGACTGCCCCATAGGCCACCTCACTTGGTGCTGTCACAGTGATTAATAAGGATATTCTGTGTTCACATGAGGCCTCTCAGTCAAGGCCTCGGAGCACTTTGCAAGGACTAATTAGCTTCATGATGGTGACTCAGGTAGGTGGGGGCCCCAGACCCACTTTACATGTCTTCAGCTGATGCAGAAAGAGACCAAATCGCTCCCTCAGCAAGCCACGGCCTTTACCCCAGCCAGGTCCCAGTGGGCAGTCCCCGGCCTTGGAGTATGGCCAAGATCGTTTGCAGAGAAAAGATGTGCCCTCTTGTCCCTCCAGACTTCAAAGGGATAACCAGCACTCAGAAGCCATCCGAGTCGGGACCAGGGCAACAGCTCAGTGGCTGGGCCCTACTGGTGCCCACCTGGGCCAGCTGGGGGCTGATGCAGCTCCCGGTCCGTGCCCACCAGCATGTCAGGGCTGCTGCGTCGGCCCCGGGGCCTCTGGAGTCAGGCCCGCCCTTGCGGCACCATCTGCACAGGCCCCCATCCTCCCTCCCTCATCTGCCTCGCCCCGTGCCCAGCTCTGCCCTCGCACATCTGCCGCCCGCTTGCTGAGGCTCTGACTGCCTGGAGTTTGTGGGGAGGTGGGCAGAGACTGCAGAGCTCAGGGTAAAGAGCTTGGACCTCCACCCAAGATGAGGGGGAGCCACCGAAGGGAGGGGCACGGTCACATGTGTGCTCTGGGAATGACAGTACAGGCAGATATGTGTGTGGGGTGAGGGTTGGGGGAGGCGTAAAACAGAGGGGCCAGGAGCCAGCATGGCAGTGAGCCAGGGGGACAGATGGGGCCCAGCTGGGCTATGGCAGTGGGGTGGGGAGAAACGGCTTGAGGGACATTTGGAAAGGAGATCACAGCACTTGGTGACTATGTGGAGGTGGGTATGAGGGAGAAGGAGGAGCCCTGGATGGAGCTCGCTACCTCCTGGCCATTAGAGAGATCCACTCTGCTGTGCATTTGTGTCCCTTAGTCAGGCACTGGGCTTGGGAAACTCATGACCAACTTGGCAATGTGAGTGCAAACCTGCTCCCCTGGAGAAGCCATGTCACTTAAAACAACCAAGTCCAAACCCCACTCCCTCTACTCTACTACCTCTCAGGCACATCTTCCTGGCTTGGGCTCATAGCTCAGTCTCGATTCCTGCGCCATCCACATTCCAGGGCACCATTGAGTTTGTCCCCCACACGAGTCTGGGGCTGGAGGTGGCATTTGTTTCTGAAACCAAGGCTCTTGGCTTCCGCGACCTGTCTATGGTGGGCTGAATAGTGGCCCCTAAAAGATGTCCACACCCCTATCCCCAGAACTCGTCAATATGTTACTTTAAGTGGCAAAAGGAACTTTGTGAGTGTGATTAAGTTAAGGATCTTGAGCTGGGGAGACAGGATTACTCAGGTGGGCACAATGCAATGATAAGGGTCCTTACACGAGGGCAGCAGGAACGCCACAGGTGGGGGAAGGAAGGACGACAGAAGCAGTAGTTGGAGGGAAGTGCTTTGAAAATGGGGGCAGAGCCACGAACCCAGGAATACAGGCAGCTCCTAGGAGTTAGAAAAAGAAATGGATTCCCTCCCGTCCCCCCAACAGAGCTTCCAGAAGGAACACCAGCCAGCCTGCTGACGCTTTGATGTAGCCCAATGAAGCTGACTTTGGACTTCTGACCTCCGAAAATCTGAGGTAACAAATGTCTTGGCGTCATCTAACTACAGCCGAACTCCCCAGTAAGAGGGGGAATGTGCTCTGGGCGAGGGAAGAGGTTCTCACAGAATCAAAACCAACCTCTTCGCTTACTCAGAGCCAGGGAAACAACAGACACTGGGCCTGGTCCTTGTTTGAGCTGTGACCTGGGCCAGGGGCTTGGGCAAGGCAGAGGATTGAGCCTCCTGAAGAGGAGCTGGGAGAATGTGCGGGAAGAGAATAGGAAAGCGCTCAGAGGAGGAAGAGGAAGATAGTGTTTTGCTGCTGCAAAAATAGGAAGCAGTCCGGGCCCAGCTGCTTGAGGGCTTCTGGGCAGGCAAGAAGTGCAGGAGAGGAATCCCACCTCCTACTGAGGGGTTCTGTTGTAGTTTGAGGATGCTGAGGGTTTGGGGAGAAAAGGGAAGGAATTTTCTCCTTAGCCACAGATCTGAGATGACTGCAAATTGCTTCCTCTGTTGTCTCCTTATTTTAACCTCCAGGGAAGAGTGGGTGAGTTTCTGCCTTCTGTGGGTGCACCTGGCACAGGAAGGGAGGTGGTGCGGGGGCTGCCGGGAGAGCCTGGGCTGGGCTGCACTGGTTTCTTCCTTAAATGCAGGATCTCTGAGGCCCCTTTCAGCAAAAATGTGGGAATCTCCTGAAAAAGGACCAGTTTCCTTAACCGCTGTACGCGTGCAGGGCCCCAGCCCAGCTTATGGCATTTTAGTGATAATGGTTAACCTTCACATAGTCCTCAGGGGGACTTCACGGTCATTTTCAAAATTATTAACTCATCCATGGTCACGACAACCTGAGAGGCAGGTACTGACCTCTCCCCATTTTACAGTTGAGGAAACTAAGGCTCGGAGAGGTGAAGTAATTGGTTCAAGTTGGTATCAGAGCCAGGATTTTGACCCAGGTTTTCTGGGCCCCTTGTCACCTCCTATGGCACAGAAGGGATCTCCAAGATCATTCTGTTCATCCCCATCCTGGGATCTTGCTCTGTGAGGCTGAAGTCCCTTCCTGGGATTCCCCAGGGAGTTACCAGCTGCTATGGTTTGATATGTCCCCCAAATTTCATGTGTTGGAAACTTAAATCCTCAAGTTCACGTTGATGGCATTTGGAGGTAGGGCCTTTGCGTGATAAGATAAGGTCATCAGGGTGGGGCCCTGTGATGGGCCCTGTGGCTTTATAAGAAGGGGAAGAGAGACCTGAGCTGGCACACTCCCCATCTCTCCCTGTGGGATTCCTTCTGCCATATGTGACTCAGCAAGAAGGCCCTTGCCAGATGCAGCCCCTCCACCTTAAACTTCTCGGTCTCCAGAACTGTAAGAGATCCAGTTCTTTTCTTTTAAATTAGCCAGTCTAAGGTATTCTGTTACAGCAACAGAAACCAGAGTAAGACACCCACAAACTAGGTTGGGTCTTCTTCCTACTGGTCTTGTTCCTGCACCCAGACCTCTGCTTCAGGCTTAGACAAGGGGCCTTGGGCTACCTCGCTGTTTGCCCACTGACAGGTATGTCCTAAGGTGGGCACTATTCCACATGCTGTGGGGTGTTCTGAGCATGAAGAACAGACTGGCACAGGTAAAGCAAGCCACGGAGGCCAATAGGGGTGGCTCTGGAGCCTGGCAGTGGCCGAGGTGGCAGTGATGTCACCCAGCAGAGCAGTGCTGGGAAGAGGGCTGGAGGCCTCCGTAGGGGTGGGCAGCTTACACCAAGGGTGGGCATGGCCCAAGGAGAGAGGCCCAAGGTGACCAAGGGCGTGGTTGGGAGGTGGCCTGCCCAGTGCAGGCCCTCCCTGCGTAAGGCCAGAGGACCTTGTTACATATGATCTGGGTTCAGCTGCCGTCACTAGCCCTTCTTTTGGCTTCATCAGAGGGACACCCGGCTGCGAGGGGTGCTGGGCCAGCACACACAGAAGCATGGCAGGTGGTGTCTGGTTCCAGGGGCGACTGCAGCCCTCCCTGTCCTGGCCACTGGCTGCGGGGATGGCAGTCTCTCCTGGATCCTCTCCTTGGCCAGGGGGACTGCTGTGTCGTTACACCTGTGTGTACACGACAGGATGTAATTACCCTGAAGATGCTGTCGGGAGGCATGGAATCCTGAGCGCTTCCCCAGGGCACCGAGTCTGCTGTTCTGCCCGCTTCACTCGCCCCTGCGCCATGGGGGAGGGGGCGTGCGGGAGGAATGAACCTCTCCAGGGGCCCTTGTGGCTCCTGGGCACTGCTTTGGTCCTGTGTGCCGGGGCATGTGGCTTCATGGTTAAGCAGGCAGGACCTCGAGTCAAGCTTGGCCTGAACTCCACTGTGACCAGGGTAAAGTAACTTTACTTCTGAACCCCAAGTGTCCCATTGGTAAAATGGAGGTAATCACAGTACCCCATCACGAGACGGCTGAGAGGGTGGAATGAGAAAACCCGGACAGAACATTTCAGCACCGGGCCGGGCAGGAGCATGCTCCGTAGATGCCGTGGTGACTCTATTATAAACCAAAAGAACATTCTTAAGGAAACAGTGCAGAAATCTTCCCGCAGGTGAGGGAGAGAGGCTCAGGCCTCAGCTGATGGGAAGGTGCCCAGTGACCAGACAGGGAGCTTGCAAGGGCCAGAATCAGAACTTCTAGCTTCAGACCTGTGGCTGTCAATTCTTAATACATGAGACATAAAAGACGAACCCCATGGATGTCTGTGGAGGTGCAGTCATGGCTGGGACTGGTGAGGGAGAATCTCTCCCATTCCAAAGAAATAGACTGATTGGCATGGGTGAAGGGGGCAAGAGCCCTGTGTGCCAAGGCGGCCTTCCCCAGCGCTACGATTCCACGTGGAGGGTTGGTGGCCGGGTTTACCCCTGGGGTGGGGAGGAGGGGCCCAGCTTCCTTGTCTCTTGGAGAGAGTCCTTGGCTTCTGGGGTGTGGGGACCACAGGAGGCCAACTCCACTGGATGCCATGAGGACCAAGGGAGGTCCCTGAGGAGCCAGAGTGGCTCCGCTGGCCCATGGAGCAGGTCCAGCATGGGAAGAAGGAAGGACAGAAACTGTGGAGACTGTGGGGACAGGCTGGAGGGTGGTGGCCTCCTGGGAAGCATTGGAGCTGACCCCACGCCCCTCGGGTCATTGTTAGTGCTGTGAGGCGATGGGGACGGGGGACTCTGCAGGCTGGGAAATGGCAGGAAGCTCAACAAGCTATGTAGCTTCCGGCCAGCCCAGGCTGGTGCTGGGAGGTGGCAGTAGGAGGGCCAGCAGTCCCGCTGACAGGGAGGAAGAGGCATAGCACCCACAAGGGACAGCACCCAGGTCTGTCAGCCCCCCTCCCTTGTGCTGTGCTGCAGGATGTCAATCACGGTGTGTCCCTGAGGTGACGGTGTACCCCCAGCACCGAGCCTGGCATGTGAAGGGTGCTCAGGGGGAGCTGAGTGAATGGGTTTGACCCAAAAGGAGCAGAGAGCCCTGGTGCTGACCACGGGCCAGATTTTCCTCAAGGAAAATATACTTCAGACTTAAGACAGAACAAAGGTGAAAAGAAAATAGAGGCTCCCTTTTGGACCATCTTATCTATTGCAGTATTAATGATTGAGTCCCGCTTCTGCGAAGTGCACAGCACAGTTCTAAATGGTATGTTTACATGATCGGGCATCCAGTGACATGTGTACCGAGTGTACACTAAGGTTTAGTGCAGAACCAGGCCCCGTGGATGCCAGACACAGGTGCACCCACAAGGAAATGAATGTTGATTCAATAACCTCATTTGGTCTTTGCCAACCCCACTCATTATGTCATTATGGGGACTGGACAATGGAAGAAGAGGAAACAAAGAGTAGTGAGCTGGCTGACCCGGGTCACACTGACAACCAGTCCCTGACCATGCCAAGAAGCTCTTGTGGGTCTCCTATGGCAGCCTGGAGCTGCCCCCCAGCGGGTCTAGCAGCTCACCCCTACTGCTTGGCTTCTATGCAAGTGACTTCTTGAAGGAATTTGCCAAGCGTGGCTACTGAATATCTGAGGGAGAGACATGCTTCTGAAAACTGTGAAACAATGAACAGTTCTTAACAATTGATTTAAAATCAATATGGTGAGGAAGTAGCACCCAAAATAGAAATACCCACCAAGTGGCCAAGGAATCTATATTCTTCATGTTTGTTTCTGTCATTGTACTCACTTTCCAATCCTCCCGTCAACCCCCCTAGGTCAATACGATTATTCCCATTTTACAGATGAGGATGTTGAAGCTTCCTAGGTTCACTCGGTAAACCAGATTTCAAATCAGATTTAAACTTAGGTCTGTCTGATTTTGAAGATGGTCTGTATCGCCAAGCTCGCAGCTGGCAGGGAAGAGCTGGAAGGAATAGTGAATGCATTTAGTAGAAGAATCAGCACCCTAAAATATCTCAGGGTCCTGGATAGTGCTGTCCAATAGAATGATCTGCAATGATGGAAATGTTCCATTTCTGTGCTGTCCAGTATGGTAGCCACTGGCCACACATGGCCATCAGGCACTTGAAATATGGTTGGAGTGACTGAGAAATGAATTTTTAATTTTATTTAATGTAAATAGCTACATGTTGTTAGTGGCACCCATATTGGACAGCACAACCCTGGGACTATGGGCAGAAGTGAGCAGGATGATTCTGGGTTGGGATCTATGTAACATCTTGTATTTGGGTCAGAGGAGTGGGAAGGGGAGTTGAAAATGGGGGGTGCAGATACACCGTGAGCAGAAACCTCCAAATGTGGGAGGTGAGACATTAAATCACAAAGGAAGGAGGGAGGGAGTGGGCAGGACAGAGGGAAGGGGAGGGACTTGGAACTCGGGGGCAGGTACAAGCCAGGTTCACCTGAGGATCCAGTCCCTTGTTCCCTGTGCCAGAGGCCCAGAAAAGGAAAGGAAAGAGGAGGCCTTGGGAGAGGGGAGGGTTCCATGCCAGTTAGGGCATCTGCCCACAGGAAAGCACCTTCCTGTGCCTCTGCCAGCCGTCCCAGACTTCCCGTGAGCTGTGTCCACCTT